ATAAAATTAGTGAAATTTTTTAAAATATAGAATGTCTCGTATTTCAAATTTTTGAAATGGAGGTATTTAAAAAAATCTTATTTTCGTTATTTTATAAAAAGTATTGTTTATTCAAAAAAAGAATGAATTGTATTGATTGGTAAAAAGTTTTTTCTGTGTGCAATTTTTTAAAAAAAGTTGCTAAAATCTTCAGAAGTTCAAAAAAGTTATTCGGCCACAGTTTTCCAAAATTACTCACTAATTTAATTAACTACAAATATTGAATTAATAAATAAAAAATATTTATGCTAAAAAATATTGATTAGTTGAAATAAAAAATATATTTAATGAAATATTTTTGCAAAATTAAATTATTAAGAAGTGTAAATAATTCTAGGCTGTGCATTTCATCAAGAAGACTTTTCATCTTATCTGCCATTACATCAAGAAATTATTTTCAAGGGACGTCCATCTAATAATATATTTTACTTACGTACGCAAATAGTTAACAACGCGTGGGGTGGTATTTTAATTGGAAATTTTTGCATACCTTCGTGGAGAAATATTCAACCTAAGGTCAAATTTTTATTTTAAATTTTATCAAAGTTTGCACAAAATTCATTCTATTATATTTTTTGATAAATACATATTTTGTGTACTATTTGCAATATTTGTATACTTTCCTTTTACTTATTATTTGTTTTGTTTTTTGGTTTTTGAACTTTCAAATTTTAAAATTTAAAAATTATTTTTAGTTTTTATTTTCTCGTTTGGAAACATTACAGTTTTTACTCGTTTTTTTCCGTTCATGTTACTGAATAATATAAAATTTTTAAGCTTGTTAATCCTTTATCAATAATTAAGCAATTTTTGATGCTATTAATAATTTAATAAAGAATATAGGTGCTAATAAGTTGGACAGAACTAGTTGCAAATCGTTATCATGCATCTATCGAAATTTTCGCTTGTCAAAAAGCAGAAATGGCCAATACTATTATTGATTTTACCGGGAATCGAGTAGAAGATGGTCTAGGAGTTGGTTTCAGAATGGAACCAGCCGTAAATATTATCATGATTATATCAAATAATCAGTTCATCGCGAACAATGATACTGCTCTAATCATTCGAAATGCTCGATATCCATATTTGCATAACCTACCTGCTCAAGTAAATTTTAAAACCAGCAGTTCATTTTATTGTGAATGATAATAGTAAGTACCAGAGGATGCTGAAAATAATAACTTATTAGTCACTGTAAGGTATCTATTTTTGTTTTCACTATTTTTGCATAATTTTTTAAACATTGGATTTAGTGATTACATTTTGTTGCATTGAATAAGAATTGAAAATTTTTGAAACTCAATTCATACTTTCTTGGTATTATTCGGTAAGTCGTGATGATCGCTATTTTTTTCATATTAGTATTCAATTTATTATTTCTAAATTTTTATTTTATAAGTAATCTTTTTCGTTGTACATTCACATTTATTAAAATCACTTACTTTTATTAAATAGTAGTATTAATTATACTATTAAAACATGGAATTGATACTGTAAATATCAATAAAATCGACTACTATTAAATAGTACTGTATACTTTTTAATTTTGCGCATTACTTCTGGTAAGTACTTTAAGCGGGAATGTTTGCTTTTCAGGTGACAATTTCGAAAAATTCTTTTAAATTTAATTCGGGTCAAAGTATTGTATCTATTGGAATGGTGGAAGGTTCACAAATTCAGAATCTTACATTTAATCAGCAAAATGAAGTTCGTGAAAATCGTGTCATCAACCCATTTCCATATTTAAATCCTCGATCAACTCCTTATGCTGCTTTAGTAGTTTCTAGCAGGTAATTTCACTTAATTACATGTTTATTTAATATCGGATTATTGTTTGTTATTAATTTAATATTTATAACCACTGAGAAATGCAATTGTTATATGCATAATAATGTTGTCGAATTTAATAACTGATATATTACAATTGTTTACAGTAATGTCGTGATTAATCGAAATTGCTTCAAAAATCCTCAAGCAGCATATGAAATAGGTACCGAACTTGAAGAACATGCAAAGTGGATTGATGCGAGGGAAAATAATTGGGGGCATTCGAGACCTGAATTATTTATGCACCGAATTTTTGATCAGTTTAACCGTTACTCATTAGCTACCATTGAAGTAATTCAAATTACTCGTAATATTTTTAATAATAATATTAGTATTGCTATTTTTTGTTTATTATTTTTGCTATTATTTAGTGATAATTAATATTGATTATTAGTATTAGTATGAATACTAATTAGCATTATTATTACTATTATTATCAATTTCATTTTTCAAGTTGATAGTCAGTTTATAGAGCCTTTGATATAATTTTTAATAAACAAATTTTAACTTTGAAATTTGCTAATTTTTTACACAAAAAATAAAATATTCATTGAGCGTTACTAATTTGTTATGCCAAAATTTTTGAAGATTTTGGAGGAGTTAATTTTCGAAAACTTCAAAAGATCAAATTAAAATATACGTAATTAAATTTGAATAACAAAGAAGAATTTGTTTTTGTTAATATTTTAATTCAAAATTATTTGGCATTAAAAGAAATTTCTATTTAAAAAATTTGCTAAACAATTTAAAAATTAATTTGCTAAAATTTTTTGTACCGAAAAGTATTTTATCAAAAAAATGAATAATTTGAAATAATTTCTTCAAAATTTTATACTTATTACATGATTTCAATTTTTTCAAGGCGAAATCATTTGCATAATTATACTTTTTAAACTTTGTAAAATAAATTTTTGTCATTTTTTGTCACTGTAAAAAAAACCTTTCACTTCTTAGGTAAATCCTTTTGCTGCTGTGTGTAATCAACGAAGACCTCATATTACTACCGTACAACAGTACTATCGTTTATTCCGTAAAGACAGTGAACCATATATTTTGGGTGGAACAATATGGGAGAATCAAGATTTAGGGAAAGGATTATATACAGTAATAGATGATTTAAATATTGTACCTGGAGCGCGTCTCACGGTAGCCCCGGGTACTGAACTACAATTTTCTAACGGTATCGGAATGCTTGTCCAGGTGAGATTAGCCATATAAAAAATTAAAATTTAATCATAAATTTAGAGTATGATCATGCTATTCATTTTTTAATTTCTTTAAATTTCTTCTGCATAATTTTCGCTTTAAACGTAATAATTACTACTACTTAATATTAATTCTATTACTAAAATACAAATTTTTAAAATTGCTTGATCATTATTCATTATTTGAATGATATATCTCAATGATGATATAAAATCGTGATATCAGGATATTAAGTGGTTGTTACGTATTATGATATATAATCACGATATCATGATATATTATTCATTATTTAAATGATGTATCTAGGGCGAACTTGTGCGAACAGAATTGCATTCATCTAACGAAATGGTGAAGTTTACGAGTGTACCGTTTGTACTACCCAATCTACCAAATATTCGTCTTGTCGATGAAAATAACAATAGCGCTGCTAGTGTTTACATATTGCAATATTTTGTTTAATTATTAACACTGTAAAATATATTATACAAAGGACACGTTTTATATCAAATCTTCCTTTATTGTAGTACAATAATATAGTGCAACAAAATATACCATAACATAAAACACTACAGTATCAGATAATGCTAGAAAACTTAAGATGTTGAGATTATTATAACTAACATTCATTACAGTAATATACTATCATTCATTACCAGAAACTTGGTAATAATCGCAATCATTGTACTAATACAGTACTGTAAGGCGTTCTCAAAGAATATAGCACTGAAAAATTTGAATCACTGTGCTAAAGAAACACCATAATTTACTATTTTAAAAAATACGAGCAACTATATAAAAAAGTCACAATTTCACAATGCTCGAAACACTACTAAAATGATCATAATTATTCAAGTTTACTTTCAAGTGTATTGTATAGTTATCTTTTGTAAAATTCATCAGTACAGTACCAAATTACAGTGCCATAAATACTAAAAACTTAAGTAAACGAAATAAAATATTAATTCAGTTATATATCTATAAATTTGTTAATTTGAGAATAAACTTTATTTACAGGTTCTTGCTGGTCGTTTAGAAGTTAATGTAGACGGTAAATGGGGTACTATCTGCAGTCGAAGTTGGACTAAGGATTTGGCTTTACTAGCTTGCAATCAACTTGGATTAATTATGGACCCCGAAAATCTCGAAAACTGGCAAATATTTCCATCGGGAGGTGAACTTCCAGTAGTTATGGATAATATTAAATGCGAAGAAAGAGAATATGATATAACCCGTTGTCGACATGATGGCATGAATGAAAATATTATCGTATCTTGTGAAGCAACACAAATTGTTGGTGTGTTTTCATCAAATTTAACTAAAATGATTTATCATTTCTGACTTTTAAAATATTAGGAATAATAGTTTGTAGAACTTTAGTGTGATATTACAGTTTTGACATGAATTACTGTATTTGATAAAGTTTATGTATTTCTATTTCAATCAATATTGCAAATATTATGAATAATATAAGATGTAGTATGGTATTAAGTTAATCGTTATTACTTAATGATTATTAAATCGGAAATGCCGTCAGTAGTTATATTAAGGTTTTTTTAAATACATTTAAAAAATGGATAATGGATTATTAAAAAAAATATTCATGAAAGTATTTTGGTTAGGCCTACGATGCATGGAGCCAAGCTGGAGTGGTGTACGTTATTCATTACTTGCAAATCCACCATCAGTTACGGGTCAAAGTTCAATGGATAAGTGGATTATTGAAAAAGCTGGACTTTTTGATTTTCGATTACCAATATTCAGTGCTGCATTACAAATTGACTGGAATTATCATATATTCAATCATTTATATATAAGAAACAATTTTTGGAATGGTATTGATGTGATTTACAACGATCTAACCAGAAAACCTGCAATTCGTAGTAGTTATTTTGAAAATAACCGACGTCATGGATTTAAAACCCGTTCACCTGGAATTACCGTTGAGAAAGTAAAAAATTTTTTGTGCTGAAATAACATTTTAGAAAAGTACTGATTGCAGTTGAATGGTAAAATTGATTCTAAAAAATGATTGGAATTGAAATTTAAATTGAAACTGGAATTGAATGATTGAAGTTGTTCAATTACTGTAATCAGAAATTATTTAATTCAAATAATAATTTAAAAATATGAATGTACACTGATTATTTTCGTTTAGGTTTCTTTAAGTAAAAATGGACAATCAGGTTTTCGATATAATTCTTTTATATCTAAAAATTTGCAACGTGATATTGTCACGTGGTTAGAACGACGTGAACAATCAGAAATGGAAGCTAACAATGTTTTTGTCATACCAAACAAAAACATTGATCAATTGGTTGTTTATGAATCACATTTGAATCAGCGAAAATTTTTAATTGCTAAGATAACTTCAGAATGCCCACTAGGTGAAGATTTCAGTTTATTAAAATAGTAGCTTATTAATCTTACTCTAATTTACATTGTATTACAAAAATATGATATTTGTATTGTTAAATCAATAAAATTTTCGCATTTTTATTTATTTAAAAGAATAGAAAAA